GTAGGAGTCAAACTTGTTTTCTACTTCTGTAGTGAATGAAAAAGAGCCCTGTTAAAGGCCTATCTGTTCAATCTTTACTTGTTACAAAACAAAGGTAAGCATATGGTATTAGTAGGGCTTATTAATGTACCCTGGCTCTTACTGTGTCCTAAAGTGGCCTTCCCCAACTTGGGGTCCCCCCAGCTCTGTTGAGATTGCAGGATTTCCCAGAATTTCAAGCCAACGTGAGCTGTGGAAGGGGAATTCTGGAAACTGCAACCCCAGCTCATCCCAAGGGAATCAGGTCTGGGTAGGACTGGCCTGCAAATTTTTGGAGGCAGTTAAATGGAGGAAAGAAGTATGTAAAAAACAAAAGTGAAAAACCAGGAAGTGCATGCTGGTTTTAGTAGAGAGAAGAAATCACACAGTGAACCTTTTTGGATATTCTAACACAGAGTTTTTCAAACTTGGCAACTTTAAGGTGAGTGGACTTGAACTCCCAGAATTGCTGGCTGGGGGATTCTGGGAGTTCAAGTCCACTCATCTTAAAGTTGCCAAGTTTGAAAAATCATTGTTCTACTAGGATATTATATCAGCCAGCTTGCTGAGAAACTTAGCTTATGCTAAGCCTTGTCTTGGGGGCAGAGGTCTTATTTGGCATTCTAGATATCAGATCCAGCTCTTTGAATATGCCTAGTTTTAATGAGCCCATTTTGCATTCACCTGCCAGGCGTGGGCCCGGGGAACAACGATGACACTCTCTTGTCGGCTGTAGCCAGCGCATTGCACACGAGTTCTGCTCCCATCACAGGACAATTGTCTGCTGCCGTGGAAAAGAACCCAGCTGTGTGGTTGAACACATCGCAGCCTCTTTGCAAAGCCTTCATTGTTACAGATGAAGACATTAGGTGAGTACTTCACGGACCAGGTTCCTGCATCATGCTGAGCTATTTTGGGACTTGTAGGGTTCTGGGCTTGTGGGAACTCTAATGAGTTGTAGTTTATTCACAAAAGAGATGGCCCCCATTTTTTGCGTTAGGTGGACTGCTGTGTCATCCCTGAGAGCTCTTGAGCATCCCATAAATTGGCAATATTATGGCT